CCCCCCCCCCCCTCCCCCAGAGTGCGAACGTAATATGTGAACAACCCCTTATATATATTCTCTATAATACTGTATAATGACATCATTTAAAGATTTCAGTGTATTGTAAACCTGTCGGGGATTACAGACAGGGATTAAGACAATTGTCATATGAATGAAGGCATAGACTGTACAGTACTCTATGGTGTATGAGATGCTATCGATTGTCAATACAATTAATGTATAATTTAAGGATTGCTTATATAATGAGACGATTTGCGCTAATAATGAACTCAATTATATATAACAATGCATTGGTATTAAGTTTACTTGTAATGCAATATATTTGCTCAATAATTATAATAAAGTTACTTTACTTAAAAACATTATAATGTGTTTATTTAATTTATAATATTTATTAACCATTAACAAAATATTTATAATTTACGTTATAACCATTATAATATTTAACTATATACAAAAGTTACTGTATTTACGAATGGGTTGTATTAAACTTGTAGCGAAAGGAAGGGTCAAAGTGATGCGTAACGTTGTTTGTGGCGAACCCTTGAATATAAACAATATGTCTGACAATCAGTTTTGAAGGAAAGAGTGTTTCGTTTATTTCGCGATTTATTTGTTATTAATTTATTTATTAAAAGTGTTTTACAATTATTTATGCTTTTATTCATTGATTTCTTGAATCAATACTAATCAGTGATGTCTTCGGACGAAGACTACGAGTCAGTGAACGCAAGCCATGGAAGCGGTGGCCAAAGACAGGCCGAAGAGGAAGAGATGTCATCGAAGTTGACGTCAATTCTGTTCGGAAACATCGACTCAAACGGCAATCTCTTGGACGACATCTTCGACGACGACTCGAAGAGACACTTGTCGTCACTCCGGAGCCATCTCTTGTCGTACATCCCGTTCAACGATATCGTCGACAACAACAGCACCGAAGACGACGACAACGAGAGCGGACTCGAAGACAACGAGCCGTCTGAGTCTAAGCCCAGCGCCGCCGCCGACGGGAAGCCCACCACCGATGGACACAACGGCAAAGACAACACCGATGTCTCCACTCGTCGGCGAAGGGATAGTAATGACAGCTCTTATGGCTCTCAGAGTCAGCCGCTGTTGACGACCGCCGGCGCCGACAACAACACCGCCAATGGAGACAAGTCTGACGACTGTATGATTCAAACCAATCGATTCCTGCCTTTCCTTTCGTCTCATATTTATATTTAATTTTGATTTTCATTTAATAACTAATAAATCAATTCATTGACCCTTTTGTCTGTCAAACCATTTCTTGCATTTCAAATGAAAAGCAAAAAACATTTCGCGAAATGAAAACTAAAATGTATTTTACATTTGCCTTTAAAATTGAGATCAAATGCGAGAAAGCGATTAAATAATTGAATTTGAAATACAGTTTATAAATACTGATAATTATATATTAATTATGGCTTAAATTTGTTGAGATTTCTCCCATTTTTTCAATTCAATATATTTTGTTAGTTTTTTGTTTTATTTTTTGATTTAACAGCAAATGAATAGATTAAGAGATTAATCAGATTTATTGAGAAAATCTTACAATTTTTGTAAAATAAAAAATTGTTTTGAATTTTATTTTTTCCCCTCATTTTTACTTTTGAATAATTTATTATCTTTTAAACGATAACTTGTTTTTTATTGAACTATTTTTATAAACTTTTCATGTGATTGTAACAAAAGTGTAATTTTATTGTATATTTATAGATGATTTCAGTGAGAAGTCGTCGAATGCCATCGACTTTTCCGATATCAATGAGTTGTTTGATGTGAGCGCTGATGAGGAGAAGAAGTTTGAAGAATCCATTAGACTGTCGTCTAAACCGTCTAAAGTAAAGGTGGAAGAAGACGACGATTACGACACTCCTAGCGATACATCAGAGCTTAAACTAGACAGCGATGGCTTCAAAATACCCGATAAACTGCTTGTCAAACGAGAATTACCCGCTCTTTCGCTGCTATTGACACCGAATGCAAGCATTGAAATCAAAGAGAATGGCGAACAGAAGCAGAAAAAACTGGACACACCGTTGGCAGCGATGTTGCCCTCGAAATACGCCGATCTGGACGTCACCGAACTGTTCCCCGAATTCAGACCGAATCAAGTGTTGCGCTTCTCTCGTCTGTTCGGACGCGGAAAGCCTTCAAGTCTTCCACAGCTTTGGAAGAATGTTAAGAATAAAAAGCGAAGGAAATTAATAGATATCATTAGACATGAAGTAATTTGCAATTATTTTGTTAATCGAAACGATTAATAAGATTATAATTTTCTATTAATTAGTCGGAATCGGAAGAGCACTCATCCGATGAGGACTCTAAATGGCGGCTCAACTTCGGGCCGACGCCTCCGCCCGAAATGGTCGAAGAGGACGACGAAGAGAAGCTTAAGAGAGCGCTAGAGTTGAAGAATTATAGCGGACGACAAGAGACCACCTCTAAGGACGACAACAACCAAAACGTGGCGGACTGGAGGTACGGTCCGGCGCAGTACTGGTACGACACACTCAACGTTCCCGAAAACGGCGACGGCTTTGACTATGGCTTCAAAGTACGCAAAACTGACGCCTATATCGATGAGGAATCGCCGGTCGACGACAACGACGACAGCATCGATGCCGACGACGCCTACCATATGGTGACACAAATCCAATGGGAAAACGATATCATATGGAATGGCGACGAAGCGAAGCAAAAGATTTTGGCCAAATTGAACGACAAGAACCACGCGGCCGGTTGGCTGCCATCGAGTCTCAACAGAACCGCGTCGGCGTTCACTCAACATTTGCGCGGAACGGTTCCGCCGACGCCCATACTCAGCAAAACCAATATTACCGGCAAAAAGGGTGAGAAGAAAGTTGAGATACAGGAGGCGCCCGACAACACGTGGTATTCCATATTTCCCGTCGAGAATGAAGAGCTAGTCTACGGCTGTTGGGAGGTATGAATCGTTTGTGAAGTTTAAATATAGTTGTCTTATTGTTCATTACGTTTTGTTGTTAACCATAGGATGAGGTTATATGGGATTCGGAGGCCATCGACAAAGTGCCTGAACCCAGAATATTAACACTCGACCCGAACGACGAGAATATAGTGCTCGACATTCCCGACGACATCGACCCGAACGCAGAGCACTCGAAGTCCAACACTGCGCCCAAAGAGAAGAAAGATATGGTCAGAAAGTCTCGGCTATTGTTAGGCAAAGCCGGTGTTATCGCCGAACCCGAGATGACAAGCCCTCCGTCGCCGACCAACACAGAGAAAGATCCGTTCAATATATCAAACGACGAGTACTATAACCCGAAACTGACGACAGATGTGGCGTTAAAGTCAAACGTTGGCGCAAATCTCATACAACACTCCATACCAGCGCTCGAATTACGGCAACCATTTTTCCCCACATTTTTAAATTACCAGCGATTGCGAGCTTTTCACAGGCCGTCACTGAAACGCTATTCGCACGGAGCGGTGGCCGACTCGTTGCCACACGGCGTCGGCCCTCTTCTCAAACACATCAAACGAAAGGCCAAAATGCGAGAACAGGAACGGATCGACAGCGGAGGCGGCGAAATGTTTTTCATGCGAAGGCCGGACGATCTGACCGGAAAGGACGGCGACATTATTCTGTGCGAGTTCTCCGAAGAGCACCCGCCACTTGTGATGCAGGTGGGAATGGCCACCAAAATTAAGAACTACTATAAAAGGGTCCGTCCATTGAATGGCTGTTGAATATATTTAAGGGAGAAATTTGTGTTAAAATTTGTAATTTTCATTACAAACGTGTAGAGACCGGGCAAAGACACGGGCGCTCCCGACTACTCGTACGGCGAGACAGCGTTCGCCCACACGTCGCCATTTCTCGGCAATTTAACGCCCGGACAGTCGCAGCAGGCGTTTGAGAATAACTTATTCCGGGCGCCCATATATGACCACCAAATGCCTGAAACAGATTTCCTAATCATTAGAACCAGAGAAAGGTTTGATTTGTCGAAACGTTTTATTTGGTGAACAGTTGTGTTTCACTTAAGTATTCAATTCAGTTATCACGTGCGCGAAGCGGAGACCATTTTTACTGTGGGACAGGAATTGCCACTCTATGAAGTGCCCGGACCTAACTCTAAGAAATCAAACAATTTCATCAGAGATTTCTTACAAGTAATTGTTTTTTTAAACAACTAATCTCTAAATATATGGTCAATATTTAATAATAATTAAATGTGATTTTAGGTATTCATATACCGGCTCTTCTGGAAGAGCACCGATAGTCCGCGTCGTATCAAAATGGAGGACATAAAGAAGGCCTTCCCCTCGCATTCCGAGAGTTCAATCCGTAAACGGCTTAAGTTATGCGCCGATTTCAAGAGAACAGGTAATGGTAATTATTCCGGTTTTGTGGTTAACGGTTGGTATAACATATTGGTTACTCTGAGCACTACTTTTTAAAATACTAACGCTTCGGTTATTTGGGCTTCAAATTTAACTCTAAAGTCCCTGTGCTTACGGTAACTAATGCTGGTGTTGGGCACTATTTCAACTGTTTTCTACTATAGGCATGGACTCAAACTGGTGGGTATTGAAGCCCGAGTTCCGGCTCCCCTCCGAGGACGAGATCCGGGCGATGGTCTCTCCCGAGGCGTGTTGTGCCTACTATTCGATGATCGCTGCGGAACAGCGACTCAAAGACGCCGGTTATGGCGAGAAGTTTATGCTCGCGGCCGAAGACATCGAGGACGAGGACGTCCAGATGAAAATGGACGACGAGGTAAAGGCCGCGCCTTGGAATACGACCCGTGCGTTCATATCGGCCATGAAAAGCAAATGTCTGCTCCAATTGGCCGGAGTGGCCGATCCCACCGGTTGTGGCGAAGGCTTCTCTTACGTCCGCATTCCTAATAAACCCCAACAATCAAAGGTTTGAAATGAATTAATTCAATATTTATCGGTCTTTTAATTGTATTATGCATTGAATAACAGGAAGAGAGTCAGAAGGAAGCGGCGCCCAAAAAGACGGTCACCGGAACTGACGCTGATTTGAGACGATTGCCGTTAAATCAAGCGAAACAGTTGCTCAAAAAGTTTGGCGTTCCCGACGATGAGGTGATTTTGTTTGATTAGATTTAGGTTTTTAAGTATTTGTGTTGTAATGCTATGAATGCCTAACAGATCAAGAAGTTGTCGCGTTGGGAAGTGATAGATGTGGTGCGGACTCTGTCGACAGAACAGGCCAAACAACAGGGCGAAGAGGCGGCCGACACGATGAGCAAATTCGCGCGCGGAAACAGATTCAGTATCGCTGAACACCAGGAGAGGTACAAAGAGGAGTGTCAGCGCATATTCGAGCTCCAGAATCGGGTCCTCTCTAACAAAGAGGAGTTGTCCACCGATGAGGACGAGAGCGAAGAGGAGGACTCCGACATCGAAGAGATGGGAAAGAATATCGAATCGATGTTAGCCAATAAGAAGACCAGTCATCAGATCTCGCAGGAGAGAGAAGAGGCCGAACGCCGAGAGCTTCAGAAATTGATTTACGGCGAAGAGTCGAATCCCGGAGAGAACAAGAAGAGGAAACTCGACAACAAGGATGACGACACCGACGACGCCATGAGTTTGAGTTCATCTGTCGGACGCATTCTGAAGATTTACCGAACGTTTCAGAATTCGGACGGAAAAGAATACGTTCGCATCGAAACCGTCCGCAAACCCGCCGTAATTGACACTTATGTCCGAATCCGTACCACAAAGGACTCGACTTTCATCAAACAATTCACATCCACTTTAGACGACCAGAAAAAGGAGGAAATCCGACGCGAGAAGAGACGAATTCAGGAACAGTTGAGACGATTGAAGCGCAATCAAGAGAAGGATAAGTTGGCCAATAGTTGGCGCCAACAGATGGGCATCACTTCGACGGACGGCAACGAATTCTCGACAATCTTCGCGCCGCCGACGACTCCGACCGTCACTCCAACCAAATCTCCTAAAGAGCCAAAAGTGAAGAAAATTAAGAAAGAAAAGGAAATCAACGTTAAGCTCAAGTGCGGCGCCTGTGGGGCCGTCGGACACATGCGGACCAACAGAGCGTGTCCTCAATTCAAGGGCACTGATATCGTACCTCCGGTTCAGGTGGCGATGACTGAGGAACAGATGGAAGACGAGGAGAGACACGGACTCATTGAAGATCATTTGGTGAAAGTGGACGACACGAAAGTGGTTCTGTCCAAGTCGTTGATCACTCACATGGAAGACGTGAAGAGTAAAGCGCTGAAACTGAAAATCCCGAAACAGGCGTTGGCTATGAAGCGAAGACGAAGGGCCGGTACTGTCGATCACTGCGATTATCTCCAAAAACCCGATTACAAGTCGGCCAACAGGAGACGCACCGATCCATTGGTCACTCTGTCCGGCATTCTCGAGGAAGTGCTGAATGAGATGCGAGATTTACCCGACACTACGCTATTCCATACGCCGGTCAACCCGAAGACTGTTCCCGATTATCACAAACTTATCAAAGAACCCATGGATTTGCAAACGATTCGTAATAAGAATCGAGAGAAGAAGTTCACGTGTAGAGACGACTTCCTTCAAGATGTCAATCAAATCATTGAGAATTCGAGGCTTTATAACGGAATCAACCATTCGTTGACTTTTACGGCACAGAAAATGATGGAATTGTGTCTCAAAAGGTTCAAAGAAAAGGAGGAAAAGTTGATGCGAATCGAAAAGGCTATCAATCCATTGCTCGACGACAACGATCAGGTCTTTACACCGTTTTTCATAACAATTCTTACGATACCTTAAATGTGAACAATATTTCAATATTCCATTTGTATGCCAAACGATAGGTTGCCTTCTCTTTCATACTCGAGAATATTCTGGACAAACGTCTGAAGATAATACCCGAGTCGTGGCCTTTCCATAAGCCGGTGGACAAAAAGATGGTGAAAAACTATTACGAAGTGATCGAGAGACCCATTTCGCTGGAAGAGATGGAGAAGAATGTAAAACAACATAAATACCAATCGCGGGATATGTTCTTAGAGGACGTGGAGCTCATATTCAAGAACAGCCAACAGTATAACGGCGTCGACAGTCAGTTCACCAAAAAGGCCGCAGAGATCGTGGAGGCGGCCAAAGAGTGGGTGAATGTATACGACGAACAGTTGACAGTTCTGGAACAGGCCATCGTTGACGCCAAAGAGAAGGCCCTCGAAGACGCCGACACCGACTCCGTTATCACCGGTTTCTCCAAAGAAGGCGGCGAAGACATGCTGTCGACGCGTCCGCCCTCTTCGGCGGCGCTTAGCTATCGAGACACTGATGACAACGCTTTGGATTATTTCGATGAGAACAGCGAAGACAAAGGCGTCCGACACTCAGCGGTCAACGATCTCGATATGAGTCCCGATAATAGCGATAACGAAGAGATGGAAATCGTGGCCAACGATAACGATAATGAGGCCGAGGAGGACGAGAACGTGATCGACGAGAGCTACGATCCGTCGGAGTTCCTGTTCTCGAGTTTCCCCAAACCCCAGTCCGAACCCCAATCACCAGCTTATACACCGTATACGACGCCCTCTTCATCGACACCATTCCCATCGACACAGCCGTCGGCCGTCAATGTGTCCAACGATTTGGCCGTTTCTGACTCGGACTCTGAGCCCAACGAACCGACTGTTACGCAAACCACTAGCGAAGAGCACAACGACGAGGACAATGACCTCTGGTTTTAGATACAACTTATATTTATTTGTAAATAATAATTATATTTATATGTTTTAAAGACATTGAACTTAAATTAGAGTTTATTAAGTAATTTAATTTGGAAATCGTTTCTTATATTGCATTTCAGTTTGTGTTAACTTTTTTTTATAACTATATTTTCAATCATTTTTTGTCATTTATATTTTTAGACAAATTTTGGCCATTTATTCAATTGGCTTATGAAATGATTTCTGTATTTTTAAAAGAAAGCAAAGTTAGTGTTTGTTATATAATTGAATAATAAAATGTAATTTATTTGCAATTAAATGGTATTAAATGCGATTAACGTGTTTGAGAGAGAGAGAGAGAGAGAAAGAGGAAAAATAAATTTCTAACGGAATCTGTCGGTCGTCCGCAAAACACTTGCTCTACAAGTGTTTTAAGCGACGATAAGTCTTAAGGACAGAGAGTATTATTTAGAGATACATTTGAAATATTTTGACATGCGATATATTGTAGGTCTGGAGTGAATAATATAAGATTTACTAACAATTCTTTGGCTCATTTCCTAAAACTATTTTTTGTTGCCAAACATTAATTGGTATTTCTAATGGCAAAGAGTGACAAAAGTGACAAATTGTTAGCGCTTTTCAATGACAACATTTCGCAATTATAGGTATTCTCTGTTATTCACAAAAAGACTTTCACACAAATCATAATTTTTTCTCTTTTGTATGATTTGTCAAATCAAATGATTAACAAAATCTAATTTAATAAACATTTTTATTAATAGTTAGTATTTAAGGCGACAATATATCGGATATGATTAATGATTTTGCATTTGGTTTTGTATACAAGACTTGTAAATAAAACTATTTAATGATAAATTGTTGCTATTCTTGACTTAAAACTCTAACTAATATTATTATAAACGATTGTAAGTAGTATTTATATACAAAACGCCAGTTTACGGATATTTTAAGATATATAAATGACTATTTTTATTAAAACTTGAAAATATTGTTACAAATTTAATTCTTACAGATTTTGAAAATATTTATCAAAAATTAGTTTTATTTTTGAGTTTAAATCATATAGTTTTCTATAAGAAACCTAAAAAGTGTATCAAAGCAATTGATCACACGATTAAATTGATTAATAAATTATCAAATTATTTTGGCTTCAATTTCACGTTCACTTATTGATCAAAACACCAAACAATTACTAAATCTTGTGATATATTATAATTATAATATATTGCATAATGTTTGCTAAACTCATAGCATATGACTTTGTTATAATTAAATTAATTTGTCAATTAACTTGTCCAAATACCTTCTTTGTGATTTCTAATTAATAGTATAAAATTGCATTTAATTTGTTATTTTATGCTAATATTTAATTAGTTGTCGTCGAGTTGTGTCCTCACATGTGAAGTCAAATTTTTATATTGCTTTCAAATAATTGATTTGTTATATAAATTCAATGACCTCTAAGTAAATAAAACTTCATTATTATTATATATCGGCGTCTGTTATAGAGAGTGAGGGATAGGTTTGAGGGAATAAAATAATCCAAAACCTAAACTAAACTAAACGTTCATTCGCTCCGCAAATCATATATGAATTTCACTTATCCCTAACTGTAAGCCATTTGGGATTATTATTTGCGAAAAAGCAAACGTAAACTTCCTTATATATCGGGCGCTGTTTTTGTGAAATACATAACATTTTTTTCATTAATAATAATGTTAATCACATTAATATTTCCTAAATATGTTTTTTATGGCTAATCACTTATCGGACCAATGAATCAATTAAATTTTGTTTATGTTTTCTTTTTAAAAACTTATTATTTTAATCATTGCTTTTTATATACAAAAACATAGTCTTATTTGAAAACAATTTCGTGAATGAATTTACTTTATTTAGAAATTAATATTTTTGTCCGCAATTGTAGTAAAAAACCCATATATAACCGAAAGTTGTTTATTTCCTCATCTATTTTAAGTACAAATCTGTCGTTCAATGATTTGTGTTGTTTTTTGTCTAAAAAAGTGAAAAAAACATGCATTAATATTGAAATTGAGTTCAATTCAATTTTTCACTCAACATTTCATTTTTCAATATATTTATTGATTTTCAATTAGATTAGTCTTTAATGTGATGTTTTAGTTAAGCGAATAAAAATAGATATGAATCTGAAGACAGTGTGAATAAAATAGATGTCTAACAGGGATCTGACTGAGAGGGAGGGAGAGCTCATCTCACACCTCGGCCTAAAGCCATTTGGATGTAAGCCCTCAACAGCTCTCTCAGCCCTTCAAATAAATTTTCAAAGCCTTGATCTACTTATAACACAAACATCTCTTTATTGTGTGAACAGAAAAAATCAGTAGTTTTTTAAAAATAGAAAGTGTCATCAAATTCACCAAGAATTCAAAGAATGTAAATTTGTTTTATTTAAAATAATAAAATTTAAAAACTAATTATTGGTTTTTGTTTTGATATTGTGTATTTTGAAATTGTTTAACAAATAAGTAAAATTTGATTGTAATTTGCTTTTTTAAAATAATGTTTTAAAATAGTAAATGGAATTTTATATATTCTGTACATAATAGCATTAATCTATGTAATATTTTATATATTTCATATCATATGTCATATAAAGAAATTACACCATAATATACTGTATAATGACTATATTATACTTTCATTTAATATACAGTACATTTACAACTTACTACTAATTACTTACTCTATTTTAAGCAATTAAAGTATAAATGGCCAGAAAATTGTTCAAATATTAATTGAATTTCTATGTACTTGTAATCACATGAAGGCTGACTTAAGATTATTATACTTTTATATCAATTTCATTTTAAACGCCAATTTTATGACTGATATGTGTCGACATATACTAAATTCCTAATCAATAATCATTGGCTCCGACTGAGCCCCTAATGGACTCGTTGTGTAGTCCGCACCACATCTACTGTACAGTAGAAATACGTTAATTATTAAGCAATTATATAATGAAAATTTAAGCACACGATGCAAAACCCGGGGTCTTATTATATAAACGATACACTCATATGATCTAAAAATGAGAAAAAAATTCTTATTACTTATGACAGAAAGTCATGTGTTTTTTTTGTTTGATCACAAAAAGCAATTTACTTAACAATATTTGGCAATAAATATAAACTGTGTTATAGTTTTGAGAATTAATTAATTTTTCTTTCTTTCTCTTTATTTAGCAATAACTGTACGCTTCCTAACAAAGAGGTATATCGGAGAGTATAAGTCAAATACAGGTAATTATAAACCCTATGAATACGTTATCATAATTCAATGCCAAAACACAATTATTAATGAGCGAAGGCTTACATAATATATACATGTATATAGTTTTACACTAGTTTTTTTCTGTCGGCAAACTATATCTTCTATTATATATTGATTTTCATCTCTTATTAATCATATATTTCCTAATAACTAATATAATAGGTTTTTTTACTATTCCCGAGAGCTCTGAATAAATAATAGCATTGATTCTTACGATAAGAGTTGGAATATACTGTAGTTTCCTAAACAAAGTGTAAATCACTTGTTTTAGGAAACTATAATTTATATGTTATGATCTTAAACATACATTACATATAAGTATTTTTACCATAATTTATAATTACATTTTGCTTTTAAACTAGTTGTTATGTTAAATGGGTATCGATTGCAATCGCAAATGTTGTGTTTTATTTTTTGAATGGATTTTATATGATAATTGAAATACAACATTTAAAAGTTACCCTATTTAGTTGTGCCGAAAGTAAATTTATTATTTAGACCACAGGTTATGAATATTCCTTTATAAGTAAAATTTAAAATGTAATAAATGTTACAAAATGTAATAAAAACATAATAATTTGAGTGCTCAATTAATGGATAACAAGTATCATGTATGTTATTTTTAAAAGTATAATAATAGTTTAGTTATGTTTCTCTGGGATATACTTTATAACAATAGTTGTGTTTTAATTTTGAAGAACATATTAAATAATTTAGTTAATACTCAAAATAAAAGTTTTTTAATAAAATGTTTTTTATTTAAAGATTGGTTTTATCAGCAAAAAGTAAAAACAGACGACGGAATGGCAAACGTGGAAATTCTTGATATTTCCAAAGCCTGTGCGGTAAGTGTTTGCATAAGTCTATCACCGAATTGTATTTTACAACAACTAATTATATGTAATATAATTTAGGATAAGGAAAATATGGCGACTAAGGATCAGATAGAATGGGCCGAGAATTTCGTTATTATATACAGCATTTGTGACCGAAATAGTTTCAATTTGGCTCAACATTATCTGAGATACATAACAGCCATTCGCGGACCCGTTTATGTGCCCATCATATTGTTGGCCAACAAACGGGATCTGGAAGTCGGCCGACAAGTGTCTGTCGATGAGGGCACCACATTAGCCCTACAATTCGGCTCTCAATTCTATGAGGTATGCATTTTATAGATTTGTTAATTTATGAATATGTTTTAACTTTAAATTATTTTTTTTTTGTAATCAGATATCAGCCGCAGACAGCAATTTGGGTGTTTCGCAAGCGTTTGAATGGCTTCTTCACGAATCGCACAGAATATCTCACAAATCAAATAATTCGCACCAAAATCGAAGTCACAAACACAGGAAACTGAGTATTATAACCGTTTCGCGAGTGTTCAGCGCTTTCGGCCACGTATTTGGCAAAAGTCACAACAATAGCGACGACAACAACAACACCGACAGCACTGCGAGTCTAATCCGACGTAAGAATCAAACCAATTATGCGTTAAACACGAGGCGAAAGATTGCAAACGTTATGATTCCAGTCGTCAGAAGATCTGCTAAACCAGTGATATCTCTATAGAAGATAATGACAATAACAAGAAACCATGAAATCTAATTTCATGAGAGATTTTATATATACATATTCTCATTGACTGTGATATTGGACTGAGAATTACTAATTTATCAATTTATATGAACAAATTTTTTTGTACATTAAATTATATAACATTATTACTTATTTTATTGTAAATTACGAGTTATAAGTAATACAAATGTAAAAATAAATCATTTTATTATATATTGAATATCATTATAACCTATTATTCATACATTAAATATATTATGTATAAAATAAGACAGTTTTAAATGTTTTGATAAAAACAATACTCAAAAAACCATTCCTTCAAGAAAATGGATAATTTATAAAATACTTTCTAATTTGTGAGCTTTTCTTATGTTACATGAGTTATGTATTATTCATTATAAGACTTTCAGACAAATGAAATAAAGTATAAATCACTGAATATATCATTGCATTTAAATTATTTATTTCTAACAATAACTTATTATTCTGGTATTTTCAAGATAGTTATGCTTATTGTGTAATAATTATATAATAATGCATAACTAAATTACAATATCAATAGCATAAATGTGAGTTATATTTCGGGTAATAATAATATAAATCCAATTATGAAGGAAATTCATAAATCCCATCATAACTTTCTTGTATAAAGTAATAAATAATTTTTCATCAAATATAAATATAATATTATGCAATAGAAAGCAATTTACCTTAATTTCTCGCAACATACAGTATATTAATTATATTTATTACAAAATATTATTAATAGAATTTTACAATTTAAATAATATAGTTATATAAGTGAATTTTATGTGAAGGTAATTTTATTTTATTATTTAAAAATCATATTTACATAATAAAGTGTTTTTTATGAAATTTAGAAAATTAAAGCTATAACAGAAATTAATAATAAATTATCAATATAATTGTTGACACGTAAATTAAAACATGGCATAAAACCTTAACTCTTTAATTATAAATTATACAAATATGATAAACTAAAATTTTACAATAATTTTATAGTATATTTCGATATTAATAAAGTAGTGATTTTTTAAATTATAAATTTTATGACTCCTATATTATACTAAAATTTCTTAAATTTCATTGACTGCAAAATAATTAATTAATTATACAAGTTATGAAAAACTAGATTCACATTTTCTTCAAATTCATTGAACATTTTATAAATAATTTTTAAAAACAAGAAATAATTTGACAAATAAAGGCGTTTGTCATTGAATTAAATACATAATTTTAATGTATCTAATATTTATCATATTTTATTATTTATTGATTTCACGATAGATTAAGACCTTAAGTGTTAATATAATGATTATAATTAGCTTTAAGTTATAGTTTTTCATTAATTATAATAATTGCATAATTAAATCATTAATGAAATATTAATTGATCAATTCTAACAAATTAGCGCAATTTATTACATTAATAAGCAACTTGTTAAAAGTTAAATAAGTACAATGAACAACAAAAATAACTTTTCTGAAAACCACCGCCAATTAACGAGAAATAAACAAATTTCTTAGATTTGATAAATATATTTAGATTTGAGAGTGAATTGAGATTTTTGGAGAGTTATTAACATTTGGATAATAAAGATGAGAATAAGGATAAGGTTTTATATAATAATAATAACATTGATTACAAGGAGTTTGACAGCTATGTTATGTTCACTCACTGTCTGAATGTATGGCAAGAGTGGAGGCAATGCTTTATTACTGAATTCTGGAGTCAGAAAAGACAGGTTTAATGACTCGTTGACTGGAAGTTCACTGTAAGTCAAATGACAATCCATTGGATTAAATCGCCTCAACAATGAAGACATTGCCTCTTCATCTCCTAATGCGGCCCTTTCTCTCTCTCTCTCT